AGGTCTTCCTCTTCGCCCGCCCCCCCGCCCCGCAGGCGAGCACTTCATCGACCAGCACCGAGCGGCGCTGATCCAGCGGGTGCGGGCGGTGGACGGCGTGCTGGACGAGCTGTACCCCAGGGTGCTGGACAACGAGCAGTATCAGAGCGTCCGGGCCGAGCACACGGACCCGCAGAAGATGCGCAAGCTGTACGAGCTGGTGCCGAGCTGGAACCAGGCCTGCAAGGACCGGCTCTACCAGGCGCTGGAGGCCAAGCAGAAATTCCGCTGATCCAGCGGGTGCGGGCGGTGGACGGCGTGCTGGACGAGCTGTACCCCAGGGTGCTGGACAACGAGCAGTATCAGAGCGTCCGGGCCGAGCACACGGACCCGCAGAAGATGCGCAAGCTGTACGAGCTGGTGCCGAGCTGGAACCAGGCCTGCAAGGACCGGCTCTACCAGGCGCTGGAGGCCAAGCAGAAATTCCTCATCCAAGAGCTGCAGGGGATGTGAGACTGGCTGCTCGGGCGCAGGGCAGAGGCCCAGCCAGCTCTGTACCCTGTCTGGGACGGGGGCCAACACCAGCGTAGACGCAAGACTCCGCTCCTTGGCCAATCTGGATTAATCTGCCCATGTTGGGTTCAACCCAGTGCCCCCAGCTGGGTACGCCACTCTGCTTCCTGGCTGGGACTCGCTCTCTCTCCAAGGAGCACCCTGGGACCCCCCACTCACCACCGGCCTGGAATGATGTTTTGTACGAAGTACGCAGGCCCGGCCATTGGGGGCAAAGGGAGGGAGCTGACCCGGGACCCGACCCGGGACCCAGCGAGGTCAGGGGCTGGGGACCCCTGCTGCGTCAAGCGCCCCGGGGGTGCTGGGCCGCGGCTCTGGGTGGCTCTCCGATGCCTCGCTGGCTAGGAGTAAAAGGCAGGATTGCGCACGCGCATTTGCTAGTTATGTTCTGAAGGCAACGCTCCCTGGGCGCCCGCCCCCCCCCCCCTCCCCCCCCCCCCCTGCCAATACAGCAGGTTTCTGTTGTACCGGCACAGCGCACTCTGGGTCAAGTCTTGGGACAGCTCAGCTGTTTAGGGCGGGTCCATGCCACATGGGGCGGGAGGGGGGAGCTACTTAATAAACTTGCACTGCCCACGGGGCCCTGCGGTGTAAGATGGAGCAGTCCTGGGGTGCAGAGCTGGAGGCTCCTGCGTGGCTGGGAGTTGAGGCGTATAGCACACGTCGGGACAGGCCCGTTGGCTCGCCGGAGAGAATTTTGGGCTTGACTTTGGATACAGGTTGACTCTCTCTGGTCCGGCAACACCTGTGGTCTGGCAGGGCCTTTGCCCCTCACCCTCTGCCGCAGCCCTGAGCCCATGTCTCCTCCCCCAAGCTACGCTACCCGGTGTTACCTGGGGGACCTGGCGTGGGGCGGAAGCAGGGGTCAGGCTGCCCACCAATCACAGCAGCGAGCACTGGAGCGACCCAGCAGCCGCCCATCTCCCAACCGCCACGTGTGACGGACCGCACCGGGTCTGGGCACCGCTGAGGCATCCGCTCAGAGCGAAATGCTCAAAACGCCGGGCTCCTTACAGCCCAGACTGGAGACCTTCCCAAATAGGCCACACACCAGTCACACCGAGCGCTCCAGCTGCCAATCCGGCCAGACTGAAGCCTCATGAGCAAAACCCCTCAGACACCCCAGCTCTCCCTGTGCCACAATCAGCCCCGGGCCTAACACACAGGTGAGGGGCTACAGAACCCAATCTCAGCCACCCCGAATGGGTTCTCCCGGTCCCAAGAAACCAGCCACAGGTCCCAATCAATTTACACTCTGGATCCGACCCACAAGATCACGCTGGGCCAGTCCTTTAGAATCTACAATCTAAAGGTTTATTACTAAAAGAAAGAAAAGTCTGAGAGCAAGGTTGTTAAAGGATAATAAATTACATGCATCAAATCTCTCAGTTCTCAATACGGGCTGTTAGCAGAGATGTTACAAACGGCTGTTTTAAAAGTCTCTGGTGTACGTCCTATGTCCGGATGGGCCCACCGTTCTTTCCGGCCCATTGTTCCCTGCAAGGCTGCACCTGGGATCAGGAGCTGAACTCAAGACAAGATGGAGGGTGCCACATGGCCCATACATACCTCTCCTGGCATCCTCCTGGCCAGAGCAGGTCACATGGTCCAACGACCTGTCCCTGCGTCCCATGCTGGTAGCCCTTAGGCCCGTGGTCACCAACCAGTAGATCGTGATCTACCGGTAGATCTCGGAGGCTCTAAGAGTAGCTCTTGAGCCCTCTCTGAACTGCGCGCCTGCGCAGTACATTTACATTAGATTTCCTCATTTGAGGAGCAGCTACTCACCGAGCAACAGCACAGGTGAGTAGCTGTGAGGAATGGTGGGAATTTTTTTTTAAAGTAGCAGTATAAGGATTGGGGATAGCAAGTGATGGAGAGGAGGGGAATAGAGAGGGCGGGGCTTCAAGGAAGGGGCGGGGCGGTAGATCTTGGCTTGGTCTGACATTTAAAAAGTGAACTTGGGTGTAAAAAGGTTGGAGACCACTGCCTTAGGCCCTGGCTGGTTTGCAGGTATCAGTCACATTCCTGAGGTGAGTATTGGCACCTAGAGAGTCACTGTCTCCTTGATAATTAGCACAGCCATGGGCTGAGCATTCTTGCCTATTGCTCAGCCACAGACGGAGAATTTTCCAGCATCCCTACGAGTGGATGTTTATAACTCCACATACAGGTATCATACAAGTACGTAAATAGCACATGTAGAGTCAGCAGAACAGAAGCTTTCACATGACACCTCACATGGCCCCCTTTGCATACACTTGGGGGTAACCCCCCCCCATGGGTGCAACAGTGATCTGGCTTCTCCCCTTAAAATCCAGTAACGTGACAGGCTGCAGCAGAGCACCTCAGCCCCGCCTGCTCCCCCAGCCTCTGCGCTGCTCATGTTGGGGCCAAGGCCAGATTGTTCCACTTGCTGCTGCTGCTTCGTGGTGGAGAAGAGCGCAGGGCGGGGAGGCAGGCGGGGGGACAGAGCAGGCTGCTGGATCGCTCAAGTGCCCGCTGCTGTGTGGGGAGGCCACCCCTGCTGCCTGCCAGGCCAGGCCCCCCAGGTAATCCCCTGGGCCCCACGAGTCCCGTCCATAGGACTGGGGAGGGAGCTGCCAGGGGACCCCCAAAGCGCAGGGCCTGGGGCGGCCGCCCCACTGTCCTCTGGCCAGGACGGCTCTGGCTGGACCCGGTTACGGGGAGCGATCTCCGCACAGACAGCCTGGCCACCAGCCAGTCCTGGCGAAGGAGCGCGCTCAGGAGGGGTGTGCGCTCCTCCCCAGCACAGGGACCCAGGAAGGGGAAGGAATATGCCTGCGGCACTGTGGGGAAGCCAGAGCCACAGAGCGGATGCCGGAGATGACCCTGACTCCCTTCGGTTACAGAGCCGGGGCCTGCACCTCCGCGCCCCCCTCCTCTGCTCTAGGCTCCCGGCCACCATCTCTTCGGGCAGAGACTCACGCCCTCCCCTATCTGGGCATTCAGGCGATTCCCAGCAAGCAGCCTGCTGACAAGGCCAGCGCCCAGGCACCGCCCGCCATTCAACGGTACCGCCCCTCGGCCTGAGCCAGCACGCTGATCCTTAAGGCAAAAGCTCTGCAGAGAAAACACCCCAAAACCTACACACTAGAAGCTCACCCAGCAGGCCAGGCCCTCTAAACCTTCCACAAGGATCAGTGCCTGCCTGAGTGAGACGGCCTGGCCTGTTCGCTGGATCAGAAAGAAGGCCCCAAGTCTGGTAAAGCTCAGGCTATTTCTGCAAAAGGTCTTCCTTTGTCTGCCGGTCTCTGGAGAATTGTTGGAGGGCTTTTGCCTTCAGCCTCCCCCTTCCCTGCACCTCCCGGCATGAGCAGAGAACAGCGCTACCCGAAGTCTGGAGACGCAAACAATCTGAGGTTTACTGGGGTGAGCTTCCAGCCAACACGAATCCGGTTTCCCTTTTTCCCAACCAACTTCCTGTTTGCCCCCGACTTCTATAGTCACAGTCTCAGCTACCCCGTAACTACGTTACGGACATGTAACAAACCTGTCCTAACATCATGCAATACAATTATCTAACCGAAGATATCACCCCCCCCTTCATTGCTTTACACCCAGCAAAATTAATTAAACAGCCGCCAGAAACAAAGAGCCAGGCAGAGGCCACACAGATAAACAACAGCGAAGTGGGGACCTTAATAAGAAAAGCATAACAAAATGTGGGTTTCACAACCCCAATTCGGTGAGTCCTGGTCAGACAGGAAACTATTGACCTACATTTTCTTTAAATCTTCTAGCCGCTTCCTTTTACCAGGAGGTGAGAGACTGGCCGGCCTCTCTCATGGTTTGGGACATGCGAGGATGTGACCGGATGCTTCGCTGCCATGGCTGCCCCGCTGCTTATCCAAAGGCCGAAAGCCTAAGAGCAAGGCCTCAGAGTCTCATAGCGAGAGATGCCCCACACGCAGGCTGTGAGTTAGATTCTTTGCTTTTATACCCCTGTAACTAGCTAAGTGATAAGAACCCACCTAAATTCTTCCAATCTAGGCCCTTACAGGCAGGCCTGAACCCCTAGACCCTAACGCGAGTCGGTATTTCTGAGTCTGCCGGCGGTGGACCCTTGTGGGTGAGGTTACAGCTTGGCCAGCCTTACTCACCAGCCGCCGTACGCAGGTCTGGGAGCAGCTCCCTTCGCAGGGGGGCAGGACCCAATCATACGTAAACCGATCTTTTACCAACGGCCCTCAGCCACCCGAGTCAGCCCGCCCGCACACGCAACAGCCTCTGCAGATGCACCAGCATCACTTCCTGAGGCGACCCAGCCAAAAACCCTTGGCAGGGAAGCCAAGGTCAGACGCTGGAGGAAGATTTCCCCCGTTCGAAGGCGGCTCCCGGGCGCAGCAGCCCGGACAGTGAAAGAAGCGGAGCCTAAATAAGAGAGCAGCCGGCAGAGCATGATCCATGCAGGAACCTTGACTCTGGAATTCACCCTCCCTGCTTTGGCTCAGGACACAACCCGGGCAACCCCCGCCCCAAACATTAATCCCACTCCCCTTCCAGAGCCGGGCACGGCAGCCAGGAACCCCAGCTCCCAGGCACCGGCTGTTCTCCTCACGAGACAGTCGCCTTCGCACAATCAGCTGGGGGTGTTACGAAGCAGAACACCTTAACCCATAACAGTGTCAGTCAGGTGATGGATTCCAGGCTGGTCAGCTGGAATTGGGAGGAGATCTTCAGCCACATCTTGTGCCCCCCAAGAATGCGGCTGCTCCCACGGAACAATCTGTCTCTCCTCTAGCTGTTCCACTAGAGGTCCGGGCTGCTCCTTCCATGCCTGGGAGAACCAGTCTTTGCAGTCACGGTCCCGTTTATGCAGCTGCCACTTCCTCTGCACGCCGGATCTCTCCGCTCCGATGCTCTGGGTTTGCTCCAGGTGTAGGACGGGGCCGTACCATGAATCGGGGATGCCCCCCACTGCCACGACCCGCTGGATCAGCTGTTCTCAGTGCTGGTGGACAAAGTGCTCATCTAGGGGAGGGGAGAGAGAAGGGAACTGAGGGTTTTCAGGCTGTCTTTTGATGGTCTTACCTTTCCCAAGCCAACGTCACCGGATTTAGCCTTGATCCAGAGGGACCGCTCGCCCAGCGCCAGCATCTTTAGGGTGGGACGCAGCCGTTGGTCACCATAGAACAGTGCTGGGTAGATTCCTCTCCCAGCACTGAATGCAGCCCCCTCAGCTGTGGGTCTCGGCTGCTCTTTAACAGCCCCACAACACATGGGCTAGATGGGAGTTAACACCATTGGACTTCTCGCTGGGGGGTACTGAAAGGAGACACTGGATAGTAGGTGCGGGGGTCTGGGGCTCGGGGCACTGCTACTGACCTGTTTGAGTTTGGGCAGATGAGACGGAAAGCGTGGCATCCTCTGGAAGAGGCAGAAAGGGGGAGTCAGACAGGAGATGGGTCCCCAGACTCAGACGCTGTTCCTTGGTTTGGAACGCGCCATCCCCAGCCCCACACACAAACCGCTCCTGAAGAGCTGAACCTACCTGGTCTCACATGGGCCTCCCAGATGGGTTCCCTGTTGACCTTCTCCACCACGCTGAACTCCAGTCCCGCCTGGATGTCCTTGGTGTAGATTTCCAGATACGACTGCAGACACTCTGCTTCCATGTTGCAAAACTCCAGCTCCTGCGAAAGGGGATATGGGATGTTAGAGCAGCACACGGAGAGTTCTGAATCATCAGAATCATTCTCTGGCCCGTCTTGGGATTGGGGAAACTGAGGCACAAAGTCACACAGTGAGAAAGTCAGAGCGGAGCATAGAAGGCAACGATTCTGAGTCCACATCTCCCTCTCTAACCCGCGAGACCCCACTCCTCTTCCACAGCTGGCAACAGAGCCCACGAGTTTGGGCTCCAAGGACCCCTCCTGTAACCCCAGAGACCCCAATTCCTCCTAAGTTGGGAGAAGAAGCCAGAAGTCCTAACTCCCCTACTCTAACCAGTAGGCCTCACTCTACTGCCAAAGTGCTGACTAATATACACTGGCTAGCGTAAAAAAATCATTATAGTATACATTATCCATCCCCTATATAGTAGTATACATTATCCATCCCCTATATAGTAGTATACATTAAGCACCAATAACAATCAGCACAAATCTTGTGACAGGGATGGAGCCTACCAGGATGGACTAGGCCAGGATAATCACACCATGTGTCCCATCACACCTTGCACTAGCTGAAGTAAGTGTCTGGCATAAGCAAACAGGAAATTTGCCAGAATCAAGATACAAACTTGATCTAGGTCTTACTACAAGCCTAGGGAAGGGACCTTCGCAGAGCAGGACCTGGGATGCTAGTAAAAGCGAGAACTAGCTAGTAGAACAGAGCAAAGGGTGGGATAAAAGAAGCTATGGAGCTGGCACCCGCTGGTGGGCTGGATTTTAGTGACATCTAAAGAAACGTGCAGCCTGTAAGAGCTGAAATGCATAACTTTGAGCAGTGATCACTGGAAGCCGAGCACTTGGGTAGCCCCCCAGGAGAGATTCAGGTGCTGCGCAGCTGATTAGCAGAACGCCCACAGCTGGCAGTGAGAGTTGTACTGGTGGTGCACATCCACACATGCCTTGGTGCATATAACAAAATGTATTCCACACATGGGTGGCAAAAATTAGAGGGGGACACTGACTTTAGGGAGCACATTTTCTGTGCAAGGTGAAGGTCATGTTTGCACGGGACAGATCCTCCGAGACTGGGATCATACCGAACCTTTTTCCTGTAGCATACGAAGAGGCCTGACTGACATGGGTTATGTGGTCTCTCGAGCACATTTCATAACGAAATCAAGAATCAAGCCTGGTCAAGTTTCAGAGGGTTCCCTGGGCTAGTCTCCAAAATGTCACAGGACTCCAGGTTGTTTTGCAGAAACAGACAACACATATATTGGGGCACAAGCCTCCATCGGCTGCAGCCCACTTCCTCAGATGCAGGAAGCAGAAACTTCAGTTTGGCAGGGACATATATGCATGCAAAGCACGGAGTGTTACATTACTACGCAGAGGACCAGCGCTAATGAGGCTAAATCAGTCAGGGTAAATGTGGCCTACTCCCAACAGCTGAGGAGAAGGTGAGACAAATCAAAGGGTTACACCTGGTCAAGCAACTGACTAGACAAATTATCAACATACTGCCTGATTCACGGTGCCCCCTGCTCTGACTCATGATAAATCCAAGCACAAGGAACAGAACCCAAGAGTTTTACGCTTTCCCAGCCTCCTCTCACTTACCTTGGGTGTCACCTCTATGTTTGATGGACTGGACACCACGTAACATGAATTAAAGGGCAGGGGCTTATGGGTCTGAAGCAGTGTTGACACCAGCCTGGATGGGCACTTCTTCTCATAGTCTTCAACAGCCTGTAACATACAAGCGCCATCCTTCGTTGGAGGTACAGAGAGAACACGCCACAGCACCTGCTCCGTTCCCCTTTCCGCCCACACGGCAGCCCTTTGGAAGCAGGTACTTGGTTACCAAGCCTAGGTCTGCACTACAGCTGAACGGTGACTCCGGTTCACGGCTCCAGCTACGTGAATCACCTGGCTGCCCCTCTGAGAGACGCTCACGGGAGTTTTCTCTCTCTTCACGGGGGAGACCTATTTGCATTCCTGAGCCTCAGGCTAATCAGAAATTGGAATTGTGGCTAGAGAGTGTCATAAATAGGAGCTGCGAAGGAGAGTCTGACTTACCTGAACAGTGAGGAAAGGGTCAATTGGAGATCCAGCTCGGGAAGGGGTTTGGGCAGTCAGCCAATAAAAATGCAGATAGGAATTTCAAACCGGGACAGAGGGGTTTTTCCTCTCTCCTTTATTTGAGATCAGAGCAGTGTCTTCCAGGTATTGAGGAAGATGGGAGATGCTTCTCTCTCCAGGAACGGTCTTCTTGAAACGTTTAAGCAGGAAAACATTTAGATAGTCCGTCGGAGTTTATTATTTCCCTTGTTTGGAAGTCGTGTCTGAGCTGGCTAATCATTTTTCTCTTTTGTAACTAAGGATTACAGCAGGGACTTTCCCTGAGTCTATATCACTTCCCGGCTATTTACCACCTAGTCAGTTTACTATGCTCGCAACAGTAGTTTTGTTTTGATCATAAAAGAGTTTTCCTTTTGTTTTGATTAACCGATACTGGTTCATTGTAGTGTCCTGAAATTTACGTGACTAGTTACCAAGCAGAGTCCACTGTTTTCTGCAGATTCCCTCGGTTTCTTTTCCCAACTCCAAGCAAAACAGAGGTTGGGGCAGTGGGGAGAGCTTGCCTTAGGCAAGGGATTCCCAAGGGATCTCTTCCCTAAAAAAGGATTTAGTTTATATTTTCTTTTAGTCACCTGGGTGGCGGCAGCACGGAACCAGTCTTGTCTTTTTTGGATCTCAGGGAAACTGAGATGGAACAAGTTTGTGTCTGGAAGTCCCGGAGACAGATTTGCAGAGTTTATTCTACTCGTCGCCCTCCCCGAGGTCTGTACTCAGAGTGTCAAGTTGGGGAACTGAGCCGTGACAGAAGAAAGCTGGGGAAAGAAGGGGTTAAATGGTTTATAAGTAAAAACAAGGGCACGTGGGGGTATAACTAGGGAGACAGGTACTGCGGACTCTCCACTGAGCAGAGGAAATGTCAGCATGTTCTGTGGCGTACAAGGAGAGTCGCTGCCATGCTGGCAGGAGCCCACTTTGCAAAGCCGTTGCGGAGAAGTAAACATCAATAGACCGTGTATCTGGTCGATCTCGACGAGGCGCTATAACGCAGGGGATGGGTTTGCTTCCCACGTAGCCACGTGCCTCCAGTCCTGGGCCTTGATGCTTCTCACGTCTCTCCAACGCTGCCAAATACACTTGGACTCGCTGTCGCGACGGGCGTCCCTCGGCGCGGGGTGTTACGCAGTGCAGGGATCCGAGACAGACCTGGTAAGCAGGTCCTGCTTCTTTAGGAGCAGCCAATCTGGGAAAACGGCAATCCAGGGGTGTGCTGGGAGGAGGATGCTTATAGCTCACCCGTAGGGCCCCCGCTCCTCTGCTCTGGCTCTTGGATGGCTTGCAGCACAACTGCTTGCCCTGGCATTTCGGGGACTTCCCTGCATGCTCCCCGTGCTCCTAGAAAAGCCCCTTCGAGGACCGAGCTGCGGACTGTCAAAGTAGCAGGGCTGGGAAAGGTGGGCGGAGCCAGCATCCAGCTCCAGTTCCTCCATGAGGGTAGCAGCAGCCTCACACTTCACGCAGAAGCGCCCCCATGCCTGGGACTCCATTTCTGAACCTACAAGATCCTTTGCAGCACAAACGTCTGGCTAACCCAGGCTGCTGACACAAGCACAGAACCCAGAAGACCGTGGTTTTCAAGGATTGGTGAATTTTTCACCATCGTTTGCCATATGAAGCATTAGAGACTGAGACTTTTCAGCTTAGAAAAGAGGAGACCAAGGGGGGATAGGACAGAGCTCCAGAAAATCATGACTAGTGTGGAGAAAGTGAATAAGGAAAAGTTATTTACTTATTTCCATAACATACGAACCAGGAGTCACCAAATGAAATGAATAGGTAGGAGGTTTAACAAACAAAAGGAAGTTTTTCTTCACACAGCGCACAGTCAACCTGTGGAACTCCTTGCCAGAGGATGCGGTGAAGGCTAGGTCTTTAACAGGGTTCAAAAAAGAGCTAGATAGATTCATGGAGGTTAGGTCCATCAACGGCTCCAGGATGGGCAGGAAAGGTGACCCTAGTCTCTGTTTGTCAGAGGCAGGAAATGGATGACAGGGGAGGGATCACTGGATGATTCCCGGTTCTGTTCACTCCCTCTGGGGCATCTGGTATTGGCCACTATCAGAAGACAGGACACTGGGCTACATGGAGCTTTGGTCTGACCCTGTATGGCCGTTCTTTTGTACGTTCTTAGACTGCTACCATTTTTAAAGCTTCTGCATTGATTTCAAAATTGGCTTGATGCTAGTCTCAGTGTGAGATGTACAGAGCAAGCCAAGTTTCAAGTGTCTAGTTCAAGTTTATCTGCCCACAATAAATCTGGGGCCAGAACACAAGATGCATAAGTAACATACTTTTCCACAGATAATCTACTGGATCATTTTCTGGGGGATGTACCAATAAAATAAAATATCTAATTCTGCCATAATGGTTTTCATCAGTCGGTTTCAAGGGAGCTCTGCAGCATGATCCCCATTTTAAAGATGGGGAAATTGAGGCCGGAGCAGGGACGTGACCTGCCTAAGGTGAGCCATCACATTAGTGCCAGAGCAGGGACTTGTTGGGAGTGAAACGCCCAGCGGTAGAAATTGGTCCTTAGAACTATGTGTCAGTGCACAGTTATCACATCAGCTACGTGCCTTGCAAATTACTCCATGTTCCCTGTAAGCTGAGCACTTGGGCGGCCACCAAGAGAGTTTCAGGTGCTGCCCAGCTGATCAGCAAGCACCTACAGCACCCACATGTTTCTACTGGTGGTGCACATCCGCACATGCCTCAGTGTACATCACATTTATTCCGCACGTGGATGGAAAA